GACTATTTGCTTCTCTGTCACCTAATTGTGTGGCCTTTAATAGAAATAACATAAGTGAACACCTACCCTACAACCTGACAGTAGGCAGTTAATTAAGAATATTTATGGGTAGCTCTCTGCATATCCCAAGTGGACTTGAAGGAGACCAAGGCTAGTCATGAAATGAGAGAGGGGACATTTAGGGGGCTGATATCTGGGCAAGAATGCTTGAGGAATAAATGAGATCCTGAAATCAAGGGGCAAACGCCTGGTGTTCATGTCTACTCACGCATCAGAATTTCCTTTTCCTCATTAGTCATTCCCTTAAAGGCATCGTTGGTTGGCACAAATAAAGTCCAGTCTCCAGGTTGTGTGAGGAGCTCTTTCAAGTCTGCAGCTTCAAGCAGGCTGAGGAAGATGCTAGGCAGGAAGGACACATGTTTATTTTGTTGGATTTAATCTAGATGTACCTACCCACCGTGCACGGGATACAATAGAATCCCTGAATCTGGAAGCATGATAAAATTGTTCATACAGTTTCCTGTTTCAAATGCAATTTATTTTAAAGTTTTATCATGGGGAAATAATTTAAATATACATATGATTATTAAATTTCATAAGCTCTTTTATCTGATAAAACTTGATGAAGTCACACTTTATAACAAAATAGAAGCATATTTAATTAAATGTTATACAAAATAGCATTTTTTAGAAACATAATTATAAAGAACTTGCAAGGAGTAGTTCAGTCTATTAGATTTTTCAATTTTTCAATTAAATTTTTAACTTGCCAAATCATGTTATGCTGCACTAGGAAGAAAAATAGTGTTAAGAACATATTTTAATTTTGAAAATATTTACATGGGCTTCTTATTCTAAATTCTGTTCTCAGCAGTACTGAATACTAGATGCATTTTGGAATATTCACTGTGAAACAAAACTATGCCGGCAGGTCTCACTCTTCTGTGGAGGTGAAACTAGGATGCTTACCTGAAGCGTTTATCTTGTTTTAATTTTTCATGGAGGGATTTCTCTGCCGGTTTGATGATCTCTCGGAATATGTGAATGGCACCATTCCGTCCTTGCTTGCTTCCTCTCACCATGCATGAATTTTCAATACAGACAGCCTAGCAAAGAAAAGAAAGATACAGTGGTCCATTTCCTTTCTTGAAACTTCTTCTGTGGAAGAAGCTACATAATTAAATTTCTGGATGGTCTCTTCTAAGAGGTCCCCTGGCTTCTGATGCCAGAGCAAACAGTCTCTCTCTTCTGTCTGGAAGGTCTTGTGCAATCTGACCTCATCCTTCTTATTCAGCCAGGCTTTTCACTACTAGTCAAGCCATCCTACGTGGGTGGCAGGTAGTTTCGTCAGTAAATCACAAAAATTCCATAGAATTCCACTTCTACATTTTCTGCCGTTCCTCTCCAGGCTCTAATCATTCTTCCAGACCCTCTTTGGTGAAGTTTAACACTTTTAACTTTTTAGGACCTTCTTTAACCATGAAGTTTCATGACTTAATTGACTTTTGTGATCGTCACAGGTATTTACTATATTATCTTGACTCTAAGACCCTATCAATTATAAGTCAAATTACTGATTAAGTTATAGCATTTTTGAACAAATGTAGTATTTATCTGTGTATAATTTAGTTTTCAATTAAAAATAATCACACCTGGCATAAACCTAATTGGCTATGATACTGCCACTGCACAAAGCTTATGTGTGATTTAGAATGAAGCCCATTTTCTGCATCAGTTAAAATGTGAGTCTTGGCCTCGTGGAACGGCAGTGAGCAGTGCAGTGTGTCGTATTCAGTTCTAGGTGATGCTTGACTTGCTGTGAATTCTTTGTAACTCGGGAGCTGCAAGTGTTGCTGGGAAGGAAACTGAACAGCACCGCTAGTAGCACTGTAATTTTGGTAAGCAATGTGTTATGG